ACTTTTGACACTAAATGGAAGTCATTCTTAATGATGAAGCTTAACTAACCACACTAAAGAAGTATCCAAATGGATATTACTTTTAAGTCATAAATCACTCACCTATCTTTTATGTAACGATATCTACCATCCAACCGAAAACAATCTAAATACACCTATTTCAGAGAAAGTCAGAATAGTAACTCATATGGTTTGGATATTTGCCCACTCCAGATCTCATGTTGAAATGTAATCTCCAATGTTAGAGGCTGGCCGGGTGGGAGGTGTTTGGATCATAGGGGCAGATCCCTCATGAATGGCTTGATGCCCTCATGGTAATAAGTGAGTTCTCACTCTGTTAGTTCACATGAGAGCTGGTTGTTTAAAAGGCTAACTCTTCCTTCTGTCTTTTGTTCCTGCTCATGCCATGTGACATGCTGGCTCCCTATTACCTTCTACCATGATTGTAAGCTTTGTGAGGCTTCATCAGAGATAGATATCAGCACCATACATTCTGTAAAACCTGCAAAACCATAAGCCAATTAACCATCTTTGTTTTAGTAAATTACCCAGTCTCAGGTATTTATTTATAGCAACACAAGAACAAACTAACAGATAATTGGTACCAGGAATGGGGTGTTGGTATGAAATACCTGAAAATGTGGAAACAGCTTTTGAACTGGACAATGGGCAGAGGTAGAAAGAGTTTGGAAGGCCGAGACAAAGACAGGAAGATGAGGGAACATTTGAAACTTCTTAGAGACTGGTTAAATGGTTGTAACCAAAATGCTGTTAGAGATATAGACAATGAAGTTCAGCCTGATTAAGTCTTAGGTGGAAATGAGGGAGTTATTGGGAACTGGATTAAAGATCATCAATGTTACACCCTGGCAAAGAACTTGGCAGCATTGTATTCATGTCATAAGGATCTGAGAAGTTTGAACTTAATTATCATACAAGATACCTGGCAGGAAAAATAAGTCTAAGCAGCAAAGCATTCAAGAAGTAGTATGGCTGCTTCTGACACCCTAAGTCATATATGGAAGCAAGTAAACAACTTAAGTTATATTTAAAACGGAAGCAGAGCATAAAAATTTGGAAAACTTGTAGCTTAGTCCTATGGTAGAAAAAATCCAAGCAGGCTTCAGAGCAACCATTTGTCAGAGAGATTAGCATGACTAAAAGGGAGCCAAGTGCTAATAGCCAAGACAGTGGGTAAAAGGCTTTGAAGGCATTTCAGAGTTCTTAGGTACAGCCCCAGAGGCCTTGGGAAGAAGATTGGTTTCAGGGGTCAGGCCCAGGACCCCACTTCCTGCATAGCCTTAGTACAGTGCTCCCAGCATCCTGACCACTCAGGCTCCAGCCGCAGCTCAAGTGGGCCAAGGTAAAGCTCAAGCTGCCACTCTGGAGGGAGCAAGCCATAATCCTTGGCAGGTTTCTTGTGATGTTCAGCCTGCAGATGCACAGAATCAAATGTGAAAAAGGCTTGGCATCTCCCGCCTGGATTCCAGAGGATGTATGGGGAAACCTGGATACCCAGGCTCTACTACAGGAGCAGAGACCCCATGGAGAAACTCTACTAGGGCAGTGCCAATGGGAAATGTAGAGTTGGAGCCCCTGCAGAGTCCCCACCAGGGAACCGCCTAGTGGAGCTTTGGGAAGTGGGATGCCACCCTCCAGACCCAAGAATGGTAGAGCCACTGGCAGCTTGCCACCTCGGTGTGGAAAAGCCATAGGCACTCAACTCCAACCTGTGAGAGCAGCCACAAGTGCTACACCCTGGAAAGCCACAGGGACAAACCTGTCCAAGGCCTTCATAGCCTACAAGTCACACCATTGTGAGCAGGATGCAGGATATGATGTCAAAGGAGATTGTTTTGGAGCTTTAAGATTTAATGACTGTCTTGCAGGGTTTCAGACTTGTGTGGGCCTGTTAGCTCTCTTTTGGCCAATTTCTCTCTTTTCAAATGATAATGTATACCCAATATCTATAGCACCATTGTATATTGGGAATAAGTAACTTGCTTTTGAACTCACAGGCTCATAGATCAGTGGACTCATCTCCAGATGACACTTGGGACTTCACACATGGGACTTGAAACTTGAATTAATGCTGACCAAGTTAAGACTTTGGCAGAGTATTGTAAAGGCATGGTTGTATTTTGATATGTAACGAGGACATGAGATCTGGGGGATCAGAGGCAGAATGATGTGGTTTGGATGTTTGTTCCCTCCAAATCTCATTTCAAATGTAATCCCCAATGTTGGATGTAGGACCTGGTAGGAGGTGTTTGGATCATAGGGGAAGACCCCTCTTGAATGGCTTGGTGCCTTCCCAATGGTAATAAGTGAGTTCTTGCTCTGCTAATTCATGTGAGAGTTGATGCAAGAGTTGATGGTTTAAAGAAGCCTGGCTCCTCCTCCTCTCTCTCTTGTTCCCACTCTTGCCATGTGACATGCTAGCTCCCTGATGCTTTCTGCTTTAATTGTAAGCTTTCTGAGGCCTCACCAGAAGCAGATATTGGTTCCACGGTTCCTGGAAAGCTTACAGAACCATGAACCAATTAAACCTCTTTTCTTTTTCTTTTTTTTTTTTTTAATTTCTTCTAAAAAAAAAAAAAAAAAAGACAGGATACATATACAGAACATGCAGGTTTGTTACATAGGTATATGTGTACCATGGTGGTTTGCTGGACCTACTGACCCATCCTTTAAGTTCCCTTCCCTCATCCACCACCCAAAAATAGGCCATGGTATATGTTGTTCCCCTCTTTGTGTCCATGTGTTCTCAGTGTTCAATTTGCATTTGTGAGTGAGAACATGCAGTGTTTGAGTTTCTGTTCCTGTTTTAGTCTTAGAAGATGATGGCTTCCAACTTCATCCATGTCCCTGCAGAGGACATGATCTCATTCCTTTTTATGGCTGCATAGTATTCCATATTTTCTTTATCCAGTCTATCATTGATGGGCATTTGGGTTGGTTCCGTGTCTTTGCTATAGTAAATAGTGCTGTAATAAATATATATGTGCATGTGTCTTATCGCAGAATGATGTATATTCCTTGCGTATGTGCCCAGTAGTGAGATTGCTGAGTTAAATGATATTTTTGGTTCTTGATTTTTGAGGAATCACCATACTGTCTTCCACAATGATTGAAATAATTTACATTCCAATCAGCAGTGTAAAAGTGTTCCTGTTTCTCCACAGACTCACCAGCATCTATTGTTTCCTGACTTTTTAATAATTGCCATTCTGACTGGCATGAATTGGTATCTCATTGTGGTTTTGATTTACACGTCTCTGATGATCAGTGATATTGAGCTTTTTTTCATATGTTTGTTGACTGCATAAATGTCTTCTTTTGAGAAATGTTGGTCCATATCCTTTGCCCACTTTTTGATGGGATTGTTTTTTTATTGCAAATATGTTTAAGTTCCTTGTAAATTCTGGATATTAAATGTTTGTCAGACAGGTAAATTGCAAAAACTTTCTCCCATTCTGTAGGTTGCCTATTCACTCTGATGATAGTTTCTTTTGCTGTGCAGAAGCTCTTCAGTTTAATTAATTCCATTAGTCAGTTCTGGCTTTTGTTGCAATTGCTTTTGGCATATTTGTCATGAAGTCTTTGCCCATGCCTGCCCTGAATGGTATTGCCTAGGTTTTCTTCTAGGGTTATATGGCTTTGGGTTTTAAGTCTTTAATCCATCTTGAGTTAATTTTTATATGAGGTGTAAGGTAGGGGTCCAGTTTCAATTTTCTGCATTTGGCAAGCCAGTTTTTCCAGCACCATTTACTGAATATGAGATCTTTTCCTCATTGCTTGTTTTTTTCAGGTTTGTCAAAGATCAGATGGTTGTAGACGTGCGGTGTTTTTTCTGAGGTCTCTGTTCTGCTCCATTGGTCTATATGTCTGTTTTGGTACCAGTATCATGCTGTTTTCGTTACTATAGCCTTATAGTATAGCTTGGAGTTGTAGCATGATGCCTCGAGCTTTTTTTTTTTTTTTCTTAGGATTTTCTTGCCTATATGGGGTCTTCTTTGATTCCACAAGAAATTTGAAATAGTTTTTTCTAATTCTGCGAAGAATGTCACTGTTAGTTTGATGGGAATAGCATTGAATCTGTAAATCTGGCAGTGTGGCCATTTCACAATATTGTTTCTTTCTATCCATGAGGATGGAATGTTTTCCATTTGTTTGTGTCCTCTCTTACTTCTTTGAGAGAAGAAGTCTTCACATTCCTTGTTAGCTTTATTCCTAGGTATTTTATTCATGATACAGCTCTCTGCCTGCCTATTGTTGGTGTAAATGAATGCTTGTGATTTTTGCACATTGATTTCATATCCTGAAACTTTACTAAAGTTGCTTATCAGTTCAAGAAGTTTTTGGGCTAAGATTATGTAGTTTTCTAAATATAAAATTATTTTGTCTGCATACAGAGACAATTTGACTTCCTCTCTTCCTATTTGAATACGCTTTCTTTCTCTTACCTGATTGCCCTGGCCAGAACTTCCAATACTATGTTGAATAGGAGTGGTGAGAGAGGGCATCCTTGTCTTGTATCGGTTTTCAAAGGGAATGCTTCCAGCTTCTGCTCATCCAGTATGATATTGGCTGTGGGTTTGTCATAATTAGCTCTTATTACTTTGAGATATATTCCATCAATACCTAGTTTATTGAGAGCTTTTAACATGAATGGATGTTGAATTTTATCAAAGGTCTTTTCTGCATCTATTTATATAATCATGTAGTTTTTGTCTTTGGTTCTGTTTATGTGATGGATTACATTTACCGATTTGCATATGTTAAACCAGCCTTGCATCCCAGGGATGAAGCCAACTTGGTTGTGGTGGATACGTTTCATGTGTGCTGCTGGATTCAGTTTCCCAGTATTTTATTGGGGATTTTTCTATTGATATTCATCAGGGATATTGGCCTGAAGTTTTCTTTTTTTGTTGTGTCTCTTCCCAGTTTGGATATCAGGATGATGCTGGCTTCATGAAATGAGTTAGGGAGGAGTCCCTCCTTTTAAATTGTCTGGAATAGTTTCAGAAGGAACAGTACCAGCTTTCGTTGTATTTCTGATAGTATTTAGCTGTGAATCTGTCTGGTCCTGGGCTTTTTTTGGTTGGTACACTGTTAATTACTGCCTCGATTTCAGAGCTTGTTATTGGTATATTCAGGGATTCAGCTTCTTCCTGGTTTAGTCTTGGTAGGGTGTATACATTCAGGAATATATCCATTTCTTCTAGATTTTCTAGTTCATTTGCATCAAGGTGTTTATAGTATTCTCTGATGGTAGTTTGTATTTCTGTGGGGTCAGTGGTTATATCCCCTTTATTCTTTTTATTGGGTCTTTTTGAGTCTTCTCTCTTTTTTCTTCATTGATCTAGCTAGCAGTCTATTTTGTTAATTTTTTCAAAAAAAAATACAGCTCCTGGATTGGTTGATTTTTTTTTTTTTTTTGGAAGGTTTTTCATGTCTATCTCCTTCAATTCTTCTCTTAGTTATTTTTTGTCTTCTGTTAGCTTTTGGATTAGTTTGCTCTTCCTTTTTTAGCTCTTTTAATTGTGATGTTAGGGGGTCAAATTGAGATCCATTTAGCTTTCTGATGTGGACATTTAGTGCTATAAATTTCCCTTTTAACAGTGCTTTAGCTGTGTCTCAGAGATTCTGGTACGTTGTCTCTTTGTTCTCATTGGTTTCAAATAACTTCTTGATTTCTGCCTTAATTTTGTTATCTACCCAGGATTCATTCAGAAGAAGGTTGTTTAATTTCTATGAAATTATATGGTATTGAGTGAGTTTCTTAATCCTGAGCTCTAATTTGATTGCATTGTGGTCTGAGAGACTGTTTGTTATGATTTCATTTCTTTTGCATTTGCTGAGGAGTACTTACAATTATGTGGTCGAATTTTACAATAAGTGCCATGTGGCCCTGAGAAAAATGTATATTCTCTTGATTTGGAGAGAGTTTTGTAGACGTTTACTAGGTTTACTTGATCCAGAGCTGAGTTCAAGTCCTGAATGTCCTTGTTATTTTTCTGTCTTGTTGATCTGTCTAATACTAACAGTAGGGTGTTAACATCCCACACTGTTACTGTGTGGAGGTCTAAGTCTCTTTGTGTGTTGCTAAGAACTTGTTTTACAAATCTGGGTGCTCCTATATAAGGTGAATACATATTCAGAATAGTTAGCTCTTGTTCCCTTTACCATTATCTAATGCCCTTCTTTGTCTTTTGTGATCTTTGTTGGTTTAAAGTCTGTTGTCAGAGACTAGAATTGCAACACTGCTTTTTTTTCCCCCTATTTGCTTGGTAAATTTTTCTCCATCCCTTTATTTTGAGCCTGCATGTGTCTTTGTACATAATTTGAGTCTCCTGAATACAGCATACCAATGAGTCTTGACTCCTTACACAATTTGCCAGTCTATGTCTTTTAATTGGGGCATTTCGCACATTTACATTTAAGGTTAGTATTGTTATGTGTGAATTTGATCCTGTCATCATGATGCTATTTGGTTATTTTGCACACTAGCTGATGCAGTTTCTTCCTACTGTCATTGGTCTTTATTTTCGGATGTGTTACTGCAGTGGCTGGTACCAGGTTTTGTGTTTTTTTGTTTTTTGTTTTTGTTTTTGTTTTTCCATATTTAGTGCTTCTTTCAGGAGCTCTTGCAGGGTAGACCTGGTGGTAATGAAATCTCTGAGCACTTGCTTGCCTGGAAAGGATTTTATTTCTCCTTCACTTGTGAAGCTTTGACTGGATATGAGATTCTGGGTTGAAAATTATTTTCTTTAAGAATGTTGGATATTAGCCCCCAATCTCTTCTGGCTTATAGAGTTTTTGCTAGAAGGTTTGCTGTTAGTCTGATGGACTTCCCTTTGTAGGTGACCTGGCCTTTTTCTCTGGCTGCTCTTAACAGCTTTTCCTTCATTTTCACCTTGGAGAATCTAATGACCGTGTATCTTGGGGTTGATCTTCTCATGGAGTACCTTAACAATGTTCTTTGTATTTCCTGACTTGCATGTTGGTCTGTTTTGCCAGGTTGGGGAAGTTCTTCTGACTAATATCCTGAAGTGTGTTTTCCAGCTTGTTTACATTTTCTCTGTCTCCTCTGGTACTCCAATCAATCATAAGTTCAGTCTTTTTATGAAGTCCCATATTTCTTAAAGGTTTTGTTCATTCCTTTTCATTCATTTTTCTCTATACTTGTCTGCATGTCTTATTTCAGCAAGGTAGTCTTCAAACTCTGATGTCCTTTCTTCCACATGGTCGATGTGGCTGTTGATACTTGTGTATTCTTCACGAAGTTCTCATGCTGTGTTTTTCAACTCTTTCAGGTCATTTATGTTCCTCTCTAAACTGGCTATTCTAGTTAGGCAATTTCTCTAACCTTTCATGAAGGTTCTTAGCTTCTTTGCACTGGATTATAACATGTTCCTTTAGCTCATCAGAGTTTTTTTTATTGCCCATCGTTTAAAGCCTACTTCTGTAAATTTGTCCATTTGATCCTCTGTCCAGTTCTGTAACCTTTATGGAGAGACACTTGCAGTCATTTGGAGGAGAGGAGGCACTATGGCTTTGGGGGTTTTCAGTATTTTTTCACTGATTCTTTCCCATCTTCATGAGTTCATCTAGTTTCAGTCTTTGAGGCTACTGACCCTTGGATGGGGTTTTTATGGGGATCTTTTTGTTGTTGTTATTATTGATGCTGTTGTCAATTTCTGATTGTTTTTCTTTCAATAGGAAGGTCCCTCTTCTTTTGGGCTGCTGCAGTTTGCTTGGGGTTCACTTCAGGCCCTATTCATCTTATTTGCTCCTGTGTCTGGAGATTTCACTCAAGGAGGCTGAAGAGCAACAAAGATGGGTGCCTACTTCTTCTTCTGGGACCTCTGACCTTGGGGGGCACCAACCTGATGCCAGTAGGATTACTTCTTATAAGGTGTCTGACAACACCTGTTGGATGGTCTTACCTAGTTGAGTGGCACAGGGAGCAGGACCTGTTTAATGAAGCACTTTGTCCCTTGGTTGAGAGGGTGTGTTTCACTGGGGGAAACCCACTTGTCTACGTGGATTCCTCAGAACTACCAGGAGGAGAAGCTAAGTCTGCTGGTCTGCATAGAGTGAGGCCACCCCCCCACCAAGAGCTCAGGCCCAGGAAGATCCAAATTCTGTCCCTGAGCCTCTGGCTGAAGTTATTGGAGATCTTGCAGGGAAGCGCTGTCAACTGAGGAAGGATGGGTCAGGTTTAGACCTGAGAGGCACTTTAGCTGCAGACTGCCACAGCCAGTGTGTTGGGCTATGGGGACAAGTCTTGGGCCCAAGCAGTCCAGCCTCCCTGGCTACAGCAGGGGAAAAAATGCAGTCTAGAGCTATCAAAATGGGTGCCGCACTTCCCCCACCCAGGGAGTTTCAGGTGTTAAGCAGTTGCAAGTCCCAGTGTTGGCTTCTGCCCTTCCCCAAGGAAATCAAATGGCTTAGGCAGCAGGCAGCCTTAGCTGGTGTTGGTTGCCCCTCCCCTCAAGGGTACCTAGGCTTAAGCAGATTCCAGCTGAGAGGCTGTAAGAATATGCATGTTCTAGGCCCCGGTGGCATGAGTTCGCCAGTGTATCTTCTGATCCAAGGGTTGCAGTTCCATGGGAAAAGCAGTTTCCCCAGCTGGGTAGCAGGCTCACTTACCGCCTCCCTTGGCTTGGGGGAGGAGGTTCCTCTTTCCCATGTGGATGTCAGGTGGACCACCACACCACACTGCTCTTCTTTCTCTCTGTGGGTCATGCCAGCCTTCTAGTCAATTTTGATGAGAGAACCTGGATACGTTAGTTGCCAGTGAAGGATTCACAGGCTTATTTTGGTTTTTTTCTATAGGAGCCTCAGAACACTGCTTCTAGTCAGCCATCTTGCCGCTGCCCACTAAACCTCTTTTCTTTATAAATTACCCAGTCTCAAATATTTTTTTCTATTTATTTTTTATTTTTTTAATTGAGGTTCCAGGGGCACATGTACAGGTTTGTTAATAAATTTCATGTTGCTGATCCTTTGTGTACAAATGATCCCTTCAGGCAGTGTAGTGAGCATAGCACCTGATAAGTAGCCTTTCAAACCATGTCTCTCTGCCCACCCTCCTTCCTCAAGGAGTCCCCATTATCTATTGTTCCCTTCTGTGTGTCCATGAGTACCCATTGTTTAGTTTCCACATACAAATGAAAACATGCAGTATTTGGTTTTCTGTTCCTGCACTGGTTCACTTAGGATAATGGCCTCCAGGAGCTCCCATGTTTTTTTGCAAAAGCCAACTTCATTCTTTTCGTGGCTGCATAGTATTCCATGGTATATACGTCCCACACTTTCTTTATTCAGTCCACTGTTGATGGGCATCTTGGTTGACTCCATGTCTTTGCTGTTGTGAATAGTGCTGCAATATATATCCACATGCGTATGTATTTTGGTAGAAGAATTTATTATCCTTTGGGTATATATCATATAGTAGGATTGCTGAGTCAAATGGTAGTTTTGTTTGAAGTTCTCTGACAGATCTCCACCCTGCTTTTCATAATGGCTGAACTGAATTATTTTTCCACCAGCAGTGTGTAAGTGTTCCTTTTTCTCTGCAACCTCACCAGCCTTTCTTGTTTTTTGACATTTTGATAATAGCCTTTTTGACTGATGCAAGATGGTATCTCATTGTGGTTTTGATTTGCATTTCACTGATGATTGGTGATGATGAGCATTTTTTTCATGTATTTGTCAGTGGCATTTATTTCTTATTTTGAGATGCATCTGTTTATGTCTTTTTCCTATTTTTAAATTGAGGTGTTTTTTTTGCTTTTTAAGTTTCTTATAGATTCTGCATATTAGATCTTTGTTGGATGCCTAGTTTGCAAATATATTTTCCCATTCTGTGGATTGTCTTTTTTTGTTTTCTTCAGCTTTTAAGTTCCAAGTTACATGTACAGGATGTGCAGGTTTGTTACATAAGTAAGTGTGTGCAATGGTTGTTTGCTGCACAGATCCATCCATTGCCTAGGTATTAAGCCCAACATCCATTAGCTATTCTTCCTGATGTGCTCCCTTCCCCCACTCTCCCAACAGGCCCCATTGTGTGTTATTTCACCCACCCAATGTGGCCATGTGTTTCCATCATTCAGCTCCCACTGCCATATTTGATTTTCTGTTCCTGTGTTAGTTTGCTGAGGATAACAGCTTCAAGTTCCTTCTGTGTCCCTCCAAAGGACATGATCTCATTCCTTTTTATGGCTGCATAGTATTCCGTGGTGTATATATACCACTAGTCTATCATTGATGGGCATTAAGGTTGATTCTATGTCTTTGCTATTGTGCATAGTGGGGTAGTGAACATGTGTGTGCATGTATCTTTATTAAAGAATGATTTATATTCCTTTGGGTATATGCCCAGTAATGGAATTGCTGGGTCAAATGGTATTTCTGCTTCTAGATCTTTGAGGAATCGCCATACTGTCTCCCACAGTGGTTCAACTAATTTACACTAACACAAATAGTGTAAAAGTGTTCCTTTTACTCTTCAACATTGCCAGCATATGTTGTTTGACTTTTTAATAATCACCATTCTGACTGGCATGAGATGGTATCTCATTGTGGTTTTAATTTGCGTTTCTCTAATGATCAGTGATGTGGAGCTTTATACCTTATGTTCGTTGGTTACATGAATTTCTTCTTTTGAAAAGTATTCATTCATATTCTTTGTCCACTTTTTAATGGAATTTTTTAAATTGTAAATTTGTGTAAATTCCTTATAGTCTCTGGATATTAGACCTTTGTCAGATGGATAGATTGCAAAAATTTTCTGCCATTCTGCAGGTTGTCTGATAATTCTGATGATATTTATTTTGCTGTGTAGAAGCTCTTCAGTTTAATTAGGTCTCTTATGTCAATTTTTTCTTTTGTTGCAATTGTTTTTGAGGACTTAGTCATAAATCCTTTTCTGGCCAATGTCCAGAATGGCATTTCCTAGGTTTTCTTCTGTGGTTTTTATTGCTTTAGGTCCTACATTTAAGTCTTTAATCCATCTTGAATTTTTTTTTTTTTTTTTTTTTTATATGGTGAAAGGAAGGGGTCTAGTTTCAATCTTCTACATTTGGCTAGCAATATATCCCAGCACCATTTATTGACTATGGAGTTCTTTTCCCATGGTGTATTATGGTTGGCTTTGTCAAAGATCAAGTGGTTGTTGATGCCTGGCTTTATTTCTGGGTTTTCTATCATTTTCCATGAGTCTGTGTCTGTTTTTGTACCAGTACCATGCTATTTGGATTACTGTAGCCTTGTAGTATACTTCCAAGTCAGGAAGTGTGATGCCTTTGGCTTTGTTCTGCTGCTCAAGATTGCTTTGATGATTTGGTCTTCTTTCTGGTTCATATGAATTTTAGAATAGTTTTTTCTAATTCTGAGATAAATGATATTGGTATTTTCTTAGGAATAATGTTGAATCTGTATTTTGCTTTTAACAACCTTGACTCTTCCCAATATGGTTTGAATTTGTGTTGCTGGCCAAATCTCATGTTGAATTGTAATCCCCAGTGTTGGAGGAGGGGCATGGTGGGAGGTGATTGGATCATGGGGGCTGATTTTCCCCTTGCTGTTCTTGTGATAGTAAGTTATTGGAAGATCTGGTTGTTTAAAAGTCTTTTGCACCTTTCCCTTTGCTATCTTCTTCCTGCTCCAGCCATGTAGGACGTGCCTGCCTCTCCTTCACCTTCCGTTATGATTGTACATTTCCTGAAGCTTCCTCAGCCATGCCCCCCATATAGCCTGCAGAACTGTGAGCCAACAAAACCTTTTTTCTTTATAAATACCCAGTCTCAGGCAGTTGTTTATAGCAGTGCAAGAACAGACTAATACAATTCCTTTTCATGAGCATGGAACATTTTTCCATTTGTTTGTATTGTCTGTAATTTCTTTCAGCAGTATCTCATGGCTCTCATTGTAGAGCTCTTTCACCTTCTTGCTTAGATATATTCGTAGATATTTTTGTTTTGTGGCTATTGTAAATGAATTTGTGTTCTTGATTTGCCTCTTGGCTTGAATGCTACTGATACATAGAAATGCAACTTATTTTTCTACATTGATTTTGTGTCCTGAAACATTACTGAAATTGCTTATTGGTTCTAAAAGTCTATTGGCAGAGTCTCTAGGGTTTTCTAGGTACAGTCATATCATCTGTGAAGAAAGATCATTTGACTTCCTCTTTTCCTATTTGGATCCCTTTTATTTCTTCCTCTTGCCTGATTGCCCTGGCTACGACATCCAGTACTCTGTTGAATACCAGTGTTGAGGACAGTCATCCTTGTCTTGTTCCAGTTTTCAAGGAGAATGCGTCTGCTTTTGCCTGTTGATTATGATGTTGGCTATGGGTTTGTCATAAATGCCTCTTTTTATTTTGAGGTATGTTTCTTTGATGCTTGATTTGTTGAGGATGTTTAACATGAAGGGATGTTGAATTTTATTGAAGACAGTTTCTACATTTATTGAGGTGATCAAGAAGACTTTCACATATATTGAATACCTTTTCTGCATATATTGAGATGATTATGTTTTTTTAATTTTGTTTAGCGAATTGCATTTATTAATTTATTTGTGTTCAACTAACCTTGCATCCCAGGAATACAGCCTATTTAATCTTAGTGCATTAGCTTTTTGATCCACTGCTAGATTTGGTTTGCAGGTATTTTGTTGAAGATTTTTCCATGTTCACCTGGTATATTTCCCTGAAGTTTCCTTTTTTCATTGTTTCTCTGCCAGATTTTGTTATGAGGATGATGCTAGCTTCATAGAATGAGCTGCAGAGCAATCTCCCCTCCTCGATTTTTTTTGAATAGTTAGAATAGGATTGGCATCAGCTCCTCTTCGTATGTCTGGGAGAAGTTGGCTGTGAATCCATCTGGTTAAGGGCTTTTTTTGGCTGGTAAGCTTTTTATTACTGATTCAATATCAGAACTTGTTATTGGTCTGTTCTGAATTTTAATTTCTTCCTTGTTAAATCTTGGGAGGCTATGTTTTTCCAGGAATTTATCCATGTCTTCTAGATACCCTAATTTGTGCACATAGAGGTGTTCATAATATTCTCTGGTGGTCTTTTTTATTTTCGTAGAGTTGGTTGAAATATCACCTTTGTCACTTCAGATTGGGTTTATTTGGATCTTCTCTCTTTTTTCTTTGTTGATCTAATTAGCAGTTTCAATCTTGTTTCATTTTCCAAAGAACCAACTTTTGGGTTTATTGATCCTTTGTCTGGATTTTCACATCTCAGTTTTATTCAGTTCAGCTCTGATTTTGGTTATTTCTCTTCTGCTAGCTTTGGAGTTCATTTGTTTTTGTTATTCTAGTTCCTGTAGGTATGATGCTAGATTGTTAATTTGAGAGCTTTCTAACTTCTTCACCTAGGCATTTTGTGCCGCGAGCTTCCCTCTTAATGCAACTTTAGCTGTGTCCCAAACTGGTATGTTATGTCTGTTTTCATTAGTTTCAAATAATGTTTTATTTCTGCCTTAATTTTGTTATTTACCCAAAAGTCATTCAGGAGTAGGTTAACATGTAATTGTATGGTTTTGATAGACCTTTTTAGTATTGATTGCTATTTTACTATGCTGTGGTCTGAAAATGTGTTTGGTGTGATTTCAGTTTTTTTAATTTGTTGAATCTTTCTTTATAGTTGAACATGTGATTGATTTTAAAGTATGTGCCATGTGCATATGAGAAGAATATGTATTTTATAGTTGGATGGAGTGTTCTGTAGTTGTCTATTAGGTCTAATTGGTCAAGTATTGAGTTTAAATCCAGAAAATATTTGTTAGTTTTCTGCCTTTATGATCTGACACTGTCAGTGGGGTGTTGAAGTCTCCCAGTGTGGTTGTATTTCCTCATACATCTCTAAGAACTTTTTTTTTATGAATCTTGGTCCTCTAATGTTGGGTGTATATATACTTAGAATAGTTAACTTTTCTTGATGGGTTGAGGCCCTTATTATTATGTAATGTTTTCCTTTTTGTTCGATTGTTGTTGCTTTAATGTTTGTTTTGTCTGGTAAAAGAATAGCAACCCCTGCTGTTTTTCTTTTCTATTTGCCAGATCAATCTTTCTCCATTCCTTTTTCTTTGAGCCTATTGCTGTTACTTCTGAGATGGATCTCCTGAAGACAGCAAACATTTGAGTCTAGCTTCTTTATCCAGCTTGACTCTCTATACCATTTAATCGAGGCATTTAGCCTGTTTACATTCATGGTCAATATTGATGTATGAGGATTTGGTCTTATCATTATGCTTTTAGCGGCTTGTTATTTAGACTTAATTGTATAGTTGCTTTATAGTGTCAGTGGGTTGTATTGTTAAGTGTGTTTTTATGGTGAGAAATGTCACTCTTTCATTTCAAAATTTAGCACTGCCTTTAGGAGCTCTTGTAAGGCTCCTTCATAGCTCTTTCATTTCCAAGTTTAGCAGTTACTTTAGGAGATCTTGTAAGGCAAGTGTACCAAATTCCTTTAGCTTTTTTTTTTTTTTTTTTTTTTTTTTTTTTTTTTTAAGTAACCTTTTTCTCAGTCTCCCGTGCTGGAGTGCAGTGATGCAATCTCAGCTCATTGCCACCTCCACGTTCTGGGCTTAAATGGTCCCACCTCAGCCTCTTAAGTAGCTGGGACTACAGGTGCATGCCACCACAGCTGGCTAATTTTTTTTTTTTTTTTCTGTAGAGACAGGGTCTCTTTCTGTTTCCCAGGCTTGTCTCAAACTCCTGGGCTCAAGCAGTCTGCCTGCCTTGGCCTTCCAAAATGCTAGGATTATAGGAATGAGCCACTGCACTCAGCCTCCTTTAGCTCTTGCTTGTCTGGAAAGGATTTCAGTTCTCTTCTCCTTATAAAGCTTAGTTTGGTGGGATATAAAATTCTTGGTTGACACTTCTTTTCTTTAAGGATATTGAAAATGGGCTTCCAGACCCTTCTGGCTTGTAAGATTTCTGTGGAAAGGTCTACTGTTAGCCTGATGGGGTTTCCTTTGTAAGTCACCTGCACCTTCTCTCTAGTTGTCTTTAAGATTTTTTCTTTCACATCTACCTTGGAGAATCTGATGACTGTGTGTCTTGGGGATGGTTGTCTTACATGGTATCTCACAAGGGTTCTCTGCATTTCTTGAATTTATGTGACAACCTCTTACTAAAGCCATAGTATCTATATTATTTTGATGTAAATTGTTAAATTATTTTTTTTTACTACCACAATATTACTGCTGCGGCTGCTACATTAATCTTTATTGCTATATTATTCCATTAAAAAATCTCAACTTTCAATTATAGTGCAGATAAACATTTAAAATCACATGTTTAGGTTCCAAGTATTATACGGCCTTAAGAAGAAATCCTAACAGAACTGCCTACCTATGGTGCCTCCCACTGGAGTGCTTCCTACCACAGCACGTGAGCTGCCACTGCCAGAGCAACTATACCTGTGGCCCCCTGCCATCCTCTGCAGAGCTATTGTTTTATACAAGAAAACTTAGACTCAAAGTTAATCTTATTTGCCTGTGTCAGAGCCAGGATTGAAACACCAGGCTGTATGACTCTTTAAGTCATACCCTTAACTCAGTGAGCTTGGAAGCCTTTTGAGTGTGAATGCTGCCACTTACCCTGTTTTCTAAAACAAGTTTACTCTGACTTTCACAGATTACAGTGGTTCTTCCAGTGTGTGAAAGCAAGACCAGAAATAAACTTTTATGCTGTATGTGCTAATAAGCTTAGGGCTCTATTTTCATAAAACATTAACCATTTTAAAGATGATATCTAATGAATAGACCCTGTATAATTATCTTCTTAAGTTTGCCAAATGTTTTCAAACATCTTACTCATTGTATTAAACTCTAGGTTTCTGTTCATTTTAATTTTACCAGAAAGATAAAGATGTGTATATAAGTCAACAGGTAACTAATTTCTTTAATTAAATAATCAATTAAATACATTATCTATGATGTACAAGACATTATATAGAACACTATATTGCCAAAGTGCCAGTAAATTTAAAAGTTTAAAATATGAAGGAAATCTGGAAACACGACTATTCACATGAATAAAAATATGATACTAATAGCAATAAATAAAGAGCCATCACCTTCTAAATAAGTTAATGTCGTACTTATCAGAAACCAGATACTATTATAAATGCTTTCTTCTTTACATCCTCCACACTCATTTATACTTCTTATACACAACTACTGAACAAATTATATGCTCAGCTATTACGCTTCAATACCACATTAGGAAATCATTTCAAGAAACTGTTTTAAACATTTGTATAGCAATGTGTCTTTAATACTTTTCTCAGCATGGGGCAAAAGAGAACTTTACATATTTATTTGCTTGTACTTTATATCTTTTTGTCTGCTGTACAGATCTGTAAGCCTTACTATTATTTTTCCCTCCCACTAATTTGGAAGCATCTCAATTTAAGGTATACTTGTTGGAATTCTATTATGTATCCGTGGTTGTCCTAGATACCTTTTCTTTGCCCCACTTCCCCTCATAGATCTATTCTCCGTCCTTTTTTACCTTATTCACCCCAGGAAGCTCACTTCCATGTCTTCTGGCTCCCAGTTGTTAACCAGTCAGGAGCTCTGGCAAGTTATAGAAGAGAATGGGGTCAGAATATTTCTCCTGCTGGGTCCTTCCTTACAGAATTATCTCAGGTTGGATTGTCCCTCTATTGAAGGGTAACACTTCTCTCCAGGAAGCCTTCTTTCCACAACACTTTTACCAACCCCTGGTCCCTCTGGCTCTAGGGATGGCAATAGCTCTGCTGCAGTATCTTTTATGATTCTTATATCACCTGTACCTTCATAATTAATATCTTGATAAGTAAGCTCCCCTCAATTTATTCTGAGGGCTAATTTGTACCCTGACTGTTACTTGGATAAGGGTAGTATCTAAATACATGAATCTTTCAGTCAACCTACATTGGTTGCTGTATTCTGTTTCTTACCAGCTGTGTTAATTTGGGAAAATTATTTATTTTAAGTCATCATAAAAGGGGCTAAAAATATTTACCTCATAGAATTCTTGTGAAGATTTTTAGATTAGGTATATATAGTTCATTGCAGAGCCTGATACTTGTGAGTACTCAACATCCAATATTAATTTTATTTTCTAGTACTATTGTTTACATATATGTAAATTTAATACTATTTTATGTATGATGGTAATAAAAAAGTTCTAGAATTTGAGCCAATCTTCCATTCCTTCATAGAAATATATATTTAAATGTAGAAAATGTACTATGTTGAATAGAAGTGGCAAAAGTGTGGACATCCATGTCTTCTTTCAGACATTAGGGGAAAAGATTCCTACCTTTCATCATTGAATATGATGTTAGCTGGGTTGTCATATATGTATTTTATTGAGGAAATTTCTTTCTCTTCCTAGTTTAATGAGTGTTTTTAGCATAAAAGGGTATTGAGATTTCTCAAATTCTTTTTCCCCATTAAGTAAGATGATTATTTTATTGCTTCCTCCTATTAATTTGGTATATTATAATGATTGCTTTTTGTATGTTGAACCTTGCATTCCCTAGCATAAATTCCACTTGATCGTGGTATATAATTCTTTCAATATACTGCTGAATTCAGTTTCCAAGGAATTTTTTTAGAATTTTTTTATCACTATTCATCAGGGCTATTGGCTTGTAGTTTTCTTTTCTTGTCTGTATGCCAATGCTCAGCTCATAGCATACATTTGGAAGTGTCCCCTTTTCTTCAGTGTGTTGGAAGACTGAGAAAGATTGATGTTACTGCTAGCCAGCTCAATTAGGCAAGAAAAAGAAATGAAAGATACCAGAATTGGAATAGATAGGAACTTCCTAAGGCTGCTGTCAAACACACACACACACACACACACAGGGAGCCTTGAAACATTAAAAATTTATTCTGTAATAGTTTTGAGACTAAATGTCTGAAATGAGAATATCAGTAGTGATGCCATGCTTCCTCTGAGACTCTGAATGGGATCCTTGCTTGCTTCTTTCCGGCTTCAAGTTGTGACCATCAATCCTTGTTTTTCTTGGTCTTGTAGCTACCTCAGTATCTATTTCTGTCATCACATGGTGTTCTCCCTGTATTTGTCTGTCTCTCTGTCTCCTCTTCCTTCTAAGGGTACCAGTCATATTAGACTAAGGGCCTACTCCTATATGACCTCACTGTAGGGACCTACACTATTTCCAAATAAGGTCACCATTCTGAGGCTTTGGAAAGGACATGAATTTTGGGGCAAACATTATCCAATTCAGTATAGAAAGGAAGAAGTAAAGCTATTTCCATTTGGAGATGATGTAATCTTATATTTAGAAAATCCTGAGAATCTGTACCAAAAAGGAAAAAAAGAAAGAAAACCTGTTAGACCAATAAAGGAATTCAACAGAGTTGCAGCATACAAAATCAACACAAAAAAAAATTTGCTGTATTTCTATATGTTAATAATGAATAATCCAAAAAGGACAATTAAAAATTTCATTTACAATAGCATCAAAAAGAATAAAATACTAATGAGTTAATTTTACCAAAGAGGAGTGAGACTTACACACTGAAACTATAAAATATTGCTTAAAGAAATTTAAGATCTAGATAGACATCCCATGTTCACATGTTGGTAGAATATTGTTTTTATGACAGTACTACCCAAAGCAATGTATAACTTCAATGTGGTCCCTGTAGAAATCCCAGTTGCATTTCTTAATTTAAAAATCTATTCTAAATTTTATATGGAATTTCTAGGGACCCACAATAGCCAAAACAATCTTGAAAAAGAAGAACAAAGTCGGAGAACTCATGCTTCCTGATTTCAGAATTTATTGCAAAGGTATAGTAATCAAAACGATGGTACAGGGATCATAATAGACATACAGACCATGGAATTAAATTGAGATCCCAGAAATAAACCCTCACATCTATGTAAAATTGATATTTGACAAAGGCGCCAAGACTATTTAATGAGAAAAGATAGATTATTCAACAATTGGTGCTGGGAAAAGTGAATATCCACATGCGAAAGAGTGAAATTGGACCCTTACATTAAGCCATATATAAAATTTAAATCAAAATGTACCAAAGACTAAATTTAAAAGCTACAGCTATAAAACTCTTAGAGGAAAATGTGGAGATAAATCTTCATAACCTTAGATTTGACAGTGGTTTCTTAAGCATGACACCAGGAGCACAGACAACAAAGAGTAAAGTGGACTTCTGAAAGTAAAAATTTGTGCTTCAAAGAACACTTTGAAGAGAGTGAGAAGACAGCCCACAAAATGGGAGAAAATATTTGTAAATCATATACCTGATAAGGACTTAACACCAGAATACAAAATCAATATGTAAAAATCAGTTGTATGTCTGTTCACTAACAATTCCTGCAGCTTAACAACAGAAAGACGATGAAATTAAGCAATGGACAAAGGACTTTAGTAGACATTTCTCTGAGGAAGATACACAAATGGCCAATAAGCACATGCAAAAGATAATCAGTATCATTAATCATTAGGGAAATGAAAATTAAACCACAGTGAGGTACCTCTTCATACCCAACTGTTGGCAAGGATGAGGAGAAATTAGAACCTTGATGCATTAATAGTGGGATTGTTCCCTGAAAAAGCAAATATGGAATTGCCATATGACCCAGTAATTTGACTCCTAGTTGCTTACCTAAAAGAATTGAAAACAGGGACTTCAACAGATATTGTACACCAGTGTTCACTGTAGCATTATTGACAATAGTCAAAGGTGGCAACAACCCAGTGTTTATCAACAGATAAATGAATAATCAAGAGGTAACATATACAGTTAATGCTCAGCCATAAAAAGACATGAAGTTCTGATACATAATGCAGAATGAAACTTGTAAACATTATGCTAAGTAAAATAAGCACATATAAAAAGGACAAATGTTGTATAATTTCATTTATATAAAATATTGACAAGCAGCAAATTCATGGAGTCAGGAAGTAGATTAGTGGTACCAGGGGCTAGGGGAGGGAGGAATGGGAATTAATGCTTAAGGAGTACAGTTTCTCTTTGATATGATGAAAAAAAACTGGAAATAACTAGTGGTGATGGTTGTACAACATTGCGAATGTACTAAAGCCACTGACTTCTACACTTAATAATGCTTAAATGGAGAAATTTTATATTATATATGTTTTACCTCAATTTTTTCAGCTAACATATAGAAATTGATTGTTCAGGCTACCCTACTATCACCCGTTCATCTGAGCCCTACAGTTTCTGATCAGTAGTAGTGAAGAAGTTTTGCCAAAGGTGGTTCTGATGAGGTCTTTTTTAACCTCTGAAGGTGTTTTAGTTGTTTTTTTTTTTCTTTAGTTTATTTATTTTACTTTAGGTTCATACTATATGTAGGATTTCTCCCCATGTTATGCCTCCCCATGCTCCCCTACCTCCTCACCCCCCGCTGTCTCTCCCGTACCTCCCCAAGTGCCCTCAGTGTGTGATGCTCCTCTCCCTGAGTCCACGTGTTCTCGTTCAACAACCACCTACAAGTGAGAACATACAGTGCTTGGCTTTCGGTTCTTGTGTCAGTTTGCTGAGAATTACGGTTTCCAGATTCATCCAAGTCCCTACAAAGGACAGGAACTCATCATTTTCGATGGCTGCATAGTATTCCATGGTGTATATGTACCACATTTTCTTTGTCCAGTCTATCATTGATGGGCATTTGGGTTGGTTCCAGGTCTTTGCTATTGTATACAGGGCTGCAATGAATATATGTGTGCATGTGTCTTTATAGTAGAACGATTTATAGTTCTTTGGGTATATAGCCAGTAATGGGATTGCTGGGTCAAATGGAATTTCTATTTCTAGATCCTTGAAAAATTGCCACACTGTCTTCCACAATGGCTGAACTAATTTACACTCCCACCTACTGTGTAAGAGTGTTCCTATTTCTCCACATCCTCTCCAACATCTGTTGTCTCCAGATTTTTTAGTGATCGCCATTCCAACTGGCATGAAATGATATCTCAGTGTGGTTTTGATTTGCATTTCTGTAATGACCAGTGATGATGAGCATTTTTTCATGTTTTTTGGCCTCATATATGCCTTCTTTTGAAAACTGTCTGTTCATATCCTTCACCCACTTTTGAATGGGGTTGTTTTTTTCTCGTATATCTGTTTTAGTTCTTTGTAGATTCTGGATGTTAGCCCTTTGTCAAATGGGTAGATTGCAAAAATTTTCTCCCATTCTGTTGGTTGCTGGTTCACTCTAATGATTGTTTCTCTTCCTGTGCAGAAGCTCTGGAGTTTAATTAGGTCCCAATTGTCTATCTTGGCTTTTATTGCCATTGCTTTTGGCGTTTTAGTCATGGAGTCCTTGCCTATGCCTATGTCCTGGATGGTTTTGCCTACGTTTTCTTCTAGTGTTTTTATGGTGATAGGTTTTATATTTAAATCTTTGATCTATCTGGAGTTAATTTTAGTGTAAGGTGACAGGTAGGGGTCCAGTCCAGTTTCTGCTTTCTGAACATTGCTAGCCAGTTTTCCCAACACCATTTATTAAACATGGAGTCCTTTCCCCATTGCTTGTTTTTGCTGGGTTTGTCAAAGATCAGATGGTTGTAGATGTGTGGTGTTTCTTCTGGGGTCTCTGTTCTGTTCCATTGGTCTATGTCTCTGTTTTGGTACCAGTACAATGCTGTTTTGATTACTGTAGCCTTGTAGTATAGTTTGAAATCAGGTAGCATGATGCCTCCGGCTTTGTTCTTTTTGCTTAGGATTGTCTTGGCTATGCAGGGTCTTCTGTGTTTTCATATGAAGTTTAAGGTCATTTTTTCCACTTCCGTGAAGAAGGTCATTGGTAGTTTGATGAGGATAACATTGAATCTGTAGATTACTTTGGGCAGTATGGCCATTTTCACGATATTGATTCTTCCTAACCATGAGCATGGAATGTTTCTCCATCTGTTTGTGTCCTCTCTTATTTCGTTGAGCAGTAGTTTGTAGTTCTCCTTGAAGAGGTCCTTTACATCCTTTGTTAGTTGTATTCCTAGGTATTTTATTCTCTTCATAGCAGTTGTGAATGGGAGTTCGCTCTGGATTTGGCTCTCTGTTATTGGTATATAGGAATGCTTGTTATTTCTGCACGTTGATTTTGTATCCTGAGACTTTACTGAAGTTGCTTATCACTTTGAGAAGATTTTGGGCTGAGACAATGGAGCCTTCTAGGTATACAATCATGTTATCTGCAAATAGAGACAGTTTGACTTCCTCTTTTCCTGATTGAATAGACTTTATTTCTTTTTCTTGCCTGATTGCTCTGGCTAGAACTTCCAATACTATGTTGAATAGGAGTGGTGAGAGAGGGCATCCTTTTCTAGTGCATGATTTCAAAGGAATTCTTCTGACTTTTGCCCATTCAGTATGATATTGGCTGTAGGGTTGTCATATATAGCTTTTATCATTTTATGATACATTCCATCAATACCTAGTTTATTGAGAGTTTTTAGCATGAAGGGCTGTTGAATTTTACCGAAGGCCTTCTCTGCATCTATTGAGATAATCCTGTGGTTTTTGCCTTTGGTTCCATTTATGTGATGGATTACATTTATGGATTTGCGTATGTTGAACCAGCCTTGCATCCCCGGGGTGAAGCCTACTTGGTCATGATAGATAAGATTCTTGATGTGCTGTTGCAATCTGTTTGCCAGTATTTTATTGAAGATTTTTGTGTCGATGTTCATCATGGATATTGGCCTGAAGTTTTCTGTTTTAGTTGAGTCTCTGCCAGGTTTTGGTATCAGGATGATATTGGTTTCATAAAATGAGTTAGTGAGGATTCCCTCCTTTTGTATTGTTTGATACAGTTTCAGAAGGAATGGAACCAGCTCCTCTTTGTAAATCTGGTAGAATTCAGCTCTTAACCCATCTGGACCTTGACTTTTTTTGGTTGGTAGGCTATTAATTGCTGCCTCTACTTCAGCCCTTGTTATTGGTCTATTCCGGGTTTCAACTTCCTCCTGGTTTAGTCTTGGTAGAGTACCAGTGTCTAGGAATTTATCCATTTCTTCCTGGTTTACTGGTTCATGTGAGTAGAGCTGTTTGTAGTAACCTCTGATGGTAGTTTGTATTTCTGTGGGATCAGTGGTGATATCACCTTTATCATTTTTTATTGCATCTATTTGATTCTTCTCCCTTTTCTTTTTTATTAATCTGGCTAGTGGTCTATTTTGTCGATCTTTTCAAAAAATCAGCTCCTGGATTTATTGATTTTTTGAAGCGTTTTTTTGTGTCTCTACCTCCTTCTGCTCTGCTCTGATCTTAGTTATTTCTTGTCTTCTGCTAGCTTTTGAGTTTTTTTGATCTTACTGCTCTAGCTCTTTCAATTTTGACGATAGGGTGTCGATTTTACATCTTTCCTCTTTTCTCTGGTGGGCATTTATTGCTATAAATTTCCCTCTCGACACTACTTTAAATGTGTCCCAGAGATTCTGGTATGTTGTGTCTTCATTCTGATTGGTTTTGAAGAACATCTTTATTTCTGCCTTCATTTCATTGTTTATCCAGTCGACACTCAGAAGCAAGTTGTTCAGTTTTCAAGTCATTGTGCGGGTTTGAGTGTGTTTCTTGATCCTGAGTTCTAGTGTGATTGCACTGTGGCCTGATAGACTGTTTGTTATGATTTCTGTTCTTTTACATTTGCTGAGGAGTGATTTGCTTCCAATGATGTGGTCAATTTTAGAGTAAGTGCAATGTGGTGCTGAGAAAAATGTTTATTTTGTGGATTTGGGCTGGAGCATTCTGTATATGTCTATTAGGTCTGCTTGGTCCAGCCCTGTATTCAAGTCCTGGATATCCTTGTTAATTTTCTGTCTCATTCATCTGTCTAATATTGACAGTGGAGTGTTGAAGTCTCCCACTATTTTTGTGTGGGAGTCTAAATCTCATTTTAGGTCACTAAGAACTTGCTTTATGTATCTTGGTAATCCTGTGTTGGGGGTGTATATATTTAGGATAGTTGGGGGTGTATATATTTAGGTAAAATGGATTGATCCTTTTACCATTATGTAGTATCCTTCTTTGTCTCTTTTGATCTTTGTTGGTTTGAAGTCCATTTTATCAGATAGTAGGATTACAACCCCTGCTTTTTTTTGTTCTCCATATTTGCTTGGTAAATCTTCTTCTATCCCTTTATTTTGATTCTGTGTGTGTCTTTGTATGTGAGATGGGTTTACTGAATACAGCACACTGATGAGTTCTGACTTTTTATCCAGTTTGCCAGTCTGTGTCTTTTGATTGGGGCATTTAGGCCATTTACATTCAATGTTAATATTGTTATGTGTGGATTTGATCCTTCCATTTTGTTACTGCCTGGTTTTCTTGCCCGTTAGTTGACTCATTTTCTTGATTGCATTTTTTGGTCTTTGCCAACTGGTTTGCTTTCACAGTGACTGGTACTTGTTCCTTTCCATGCTTAGTGTTTCTTTCAAGAGCTCTTGTAGGGCAGGTCTGGTGATGACAAAATCTCACAATAATTGCTTGTCCATAAAGGATTTTATTTCCCCTTCATTTATGAAGCTTTTGGCTGGATATGAGATTCTGGATTGAAAGTTCTTTTCTTTAAGGATGTTGAATATCAGCCCCCACTCTCTTCTAGCTTGTAAGATTTCTACCAAGACATCTGCTGTGAGTCTGATTGGCTTCCTTCTGTTGGTGACCTGATCTTTCTCTCTGGCTGCCGTTAGCATTTTTGCCTTCATTTAAACCCTGGTGAATCTGACGATTATGTGCCTTGGTGTTGCTCTTCTTGAGGAATATCTTTGTGGAGTTCTCTGTGTTTCTTGAATTTAAAATTTGGACTGCCTTGCTAGGCTTCGGCACTTCTCCTGGGTAATATCCTGGAGCGTGTTTTCCAGCTTGGATTAATTCACGCCGTCATATTCAGGTACACCAATCAAGCGTGGATTAGGTCTTTTCACATAATCCCATATTTCTTGGAGGCTTTGTTCATTTCTTTTCACTCTTTGTTCTCTTGTTTTGCCTTCTCTTTTTATTTCATTGAGTTGATCTTCAATCCCTGATATCCTGTCTTCTGCTTGATCGATTAAACTTGTGTTTGCTATTAAAACTTGTGTTTGCTTCACGTAGTTCTCATGCTGTGTTTTTCAACTCCATGAAGTCGTTTATGTTCTTCTCTAAGCTGGTTATTCTAGTTAGCATTTTGTCTAACATTTTTTCAAGGTTTTTGATGGTTTTTAAAGTGAATCTTGAGAAACTAACAGCTTTTCTTCTGAGTTGAAATCAGTGTGCTGCAGCAGGCAGCTGGAAGAGTCCTGTTTTGAAAAGATTAAGAAAGCCACAGTTGAATACTATGAAAAGGAAGCAGAGGTGCCAATTCTAGTTAGTAGAGTTATAAGTTATCATTTCAGAATTTATGATTTTTATGTCAAATTCATATTTGGACTTGGGAATTTTATGTTTGTGAGACAGTAGACACATTGTAATTTTTAGCATATTCTGTAACATCTTCTGTTAAGTCCTGGTAAAAGAATTAGTCTAAAACTCAACAAATGAAAATATTAAATGAAAGAAGATATAGTTCAATAAAAGAAAAAGGCTTTTAATATTGAATTTAACACATGATAAAATATCACTGAACCACTTCAAGGTAGAGTAAATGAACCACTTGTCTAGTATATGACAGCATTAAAATCACCTGAGGTCGGGAGTTTAAGATCAGCCTGACCAACATGGAGAAACCTCGTCTCTACAAAAAATATAAAATTAGCTGGGTGTGGTGGAATATGCCTGTAATTCCAGGTACTCGGGAGGCTGGGGCAGGAGAATCACTTGAACCTGGGAGGCCGAGGTTGCAGTCAACGGATATCATGCCATTGCATTCCAATCTGGGCAACAAGAGCAAAACTCTGTCAAAAAAAAAAAAAAAAGTGTGAGATATTGTGTCTTTGGCTGCTAAACTGTAAGTAAATTCTCTGGGCTTAGAGACAAAACATGCCAGCAAGATATATCAGAAAGCCCCAAAAAGATACCCTACTGAATTATCCCAGAGAACAAGTATATAAATCTGTGAATTAAAGCAATAACTATTCAGATCAATAGGGAGAGCTAGTCTACCATATCATGTATTAGGTAAACAAGGATATAAAAAGATATATTTTTATATCCTTGAGCAGAGTGTTCAGATTTAAAGGAGAATTTTTGACATTAATTAAATGTTACCTAAAATAAAAACTGTATAGTTTGTTTTGATACCCATGGCAACCATTACCCACATAACCCTACTCCTAACATAAAGTCAGAGTTTCAGCTTGTAAAAAATCCATAGCGAGTCCATCTCTTTCCTGGAAGTAAATTGTGATGTTTAGTAAGAATGATGACTTAGTACAATAGCATGCTTAATGTGCTATTGTGTTATTTCCCCACTTTGGGAAAATAATGTAATGGAATGCAACTCTAGAGATGGTGATGGGTCTCAGACTGAAAAACTGGCCAACAACATGGACCAGAAACAAGTGAAAGCTCCAGTCAGTGTTTTTATAACTTTAGTTTTAAGAAAAAGTATAAATATCTTATTGCTATGTTAGTCTCTGAAACTTGTAAGACTAATTATTAACTATATCTAGATTATATTTTGTGGTTATGAGACCACTAAGACTTCATCCCCAACAGTGTATCACATTCGTAAGGTTATCTACAAAAGAAATTAGAGAAATCTTTGCCTTTCACTTTGTCAGATCTTTTTGGAAAATATTAGAGACAGTTCATCTTACCTTTAAATTGTTATATTCTTGGCACAAAGTCAATATTTTTCTTTTGTTATCAAAAGAAATATTCATCTGAACATGCCTAGTTGCAGTCAAATGGGCAATTATTATTCTTTAAAGCAGAACAAAAAAATAGAAAAGAGCTATGTATATCTGAATAATATTTGATTCTTGTCTAGAAACCTAGACAAGAGATAATTTTTGTGGGTATTCTATCAATCAGTAAACAATGTGAGTAACTGATGCTTTCTATACATAGTATGTAACAATTAAATTTAAAATGTGATTCTTGTTGTTTTCGAATTAAAATTATCAGATTTATAATAAGCAAGACATGCCATTGCATCTACTTTTTTAAATAAGGTAATAACCCAGTTGTGTTAATTTATACTGCCCTGTAGGCCAAATATATTTGATCTGTAGATGATAGGTTGGAAGTTAATTTGTGCTGTGGTAGTATGAGGCTTTTTCCCCGTCTCCCTGCTCACCATTACTTCCTGGATTCCTTAACCAAGCTAAACCAAGTTTTAAGATATTGTGGTGATCATTGGTAGCTTTTACCTTTTGCCAGTCTCTTTGTCCTAGTTCATTCAGGCTATGATAATAAAATACCAAAGACTGAGTGGCTTGTGACAATAGAAATTTATTTCTCCCAGTTCTGGTGACTAAGTCCAAGATAAAGGCTCTCAAAACAGCCCACTTCATAGTTCATATATGGCCATCTTTATGCTGTATCCTCATGTGGAAAAAAGGAGCAAGGAAGCTCTCTAAGGTCCATTTTAGAAAGGTACTAATTCTATTCATGAGGGTTCTCCCCTCATGACTTCATCACCTCCTGAGGCCCTCCCTCCTAATATCATTGCCTTGGGGTTAGGATCTCACCATATGAATTTGGGGAAGACACAATCATTCAGACCATGGCACCCTTCTCCTTTAGTCCTGTATCCTTCCCGTCTTTGCTCAAGCTCTTCCTCTAGCCTTTGGTCTCAGGCATCTGAGATTATCCTTCTACAAGTATGTGCTCAAAAGAGACAAAAATAACTTCATAGACACTGTAAACCAATTCAGCATATGTGTTGTCCCTGTATTAAACTTCTCTAGCTCCAGGTAGTATCTATCTAGTTTTTCAAATTAATATGATACTTCTAAACACTTTGGGGTCTGTTGGGGGGTGGGGGGCAAGGGAGGAGCAGCGGGGGGCTGGGGAGGTCGGGGAGGGATAACATGGGAGAAATGCCAGGTGTAGATGACAGGGGGATGGAGGCAGCAAACCACATTGCCATGTGTGTACCTATGCAACAATCCTGCATGATCTGCACATGTACCCCAGAACCTAAAGTACGATGAAATAAAATTTAAAAAACTTCTAAACCTGTCATGGGTCTTTTTACCTGTTAGAAAATTTCTTAGACCTCTTTATAATTGTACCTTAAGCATTTAGATAAAGAATGAGAAGTGAGTATCCTTTATCAACTTCAAGTATGCAAGGAATTCTTTCTTGATCTTGTTGTACCTATAAGCACTGGCTATGGTTAAACTTGGCTTCCTTCCTGATATTTTTCTTGCCTTTCTCATCAGCAAATATTTTAGCCTGTGAGCTTATATCAGATTATAAGGAAATAGTTTATATATTAATGCAATTTGAACCTGCTGGACATCATATAAAAGTTAAGAGTAAGAGTGGAAAGTCTACTACGTAACTCTGATTTGTTAAGTGATAAAAGATTACTTCGAAAGACTCATGAACTAAAAATTGTGCTGTTCAGTCCTTATCTCCTAGCTTTTCCTAAGTTTTGTGTAGTGAAAAGCAAAGTGAGAGTTGTAGTAAAGAGGGCCTTAATACACCTAATCCAGACATTGGTTTTCTTGGCTTTTTAACATGTTTACTAGAAATATTATGTGGTAAAATATAAGCAGTTTTTAAAAAGAGAGAGGGGGCTTATTTCCAATTTCCAGGAAAAACTGCAAAGTCATCATCCGAATCTTGTGATCTCTGGCACTTACATTTGTGACCTAATACAGGATGAAAGTTATCTTGTCTCAGTATGTGTTATTCTACATACCCACCCTGTACTCCACAGCCCACCATTTAATTACTCCTTACCACAGGAATGTCTGTGGCTGAGTAAGAAACTAACCATAGTTGCCCTCCCATTTGACCCACAAAGGTTAGAACTTGGCTGTGATCCATCACAGTCTTAACTGTGTTTTGAATCTGTTTTTATTGTATACATTCTTTACAGAGCATAGCATACTTTGTGTAATATGACCAGTGGCATGGACACAGTGTGAGTTTACTAGTCTCAGTTGTCTAGTGTAAACAGAAGTCGATAAATGTTTGTTGCTGAAATTCAGTTCCCAAATGTCACAGATCAAAGGAAAATGTACAAACAAGACTTATTAGGAATCCTGATACTAAATGATATTAGATGATGGAATTTTATCAGAAGAGCCTTGTTCTCTAACATGAGCCACTGTACATTTTTAAGAATAATAATTGTTTTCAAACAAACTTTTCTATCATAGTTTGCTTTTCAAAAAAATTTCCACTTAGCCATTTCTAGAAGGACCTGTTTAAAAGTGGAAACTATTATTAAACACTAATCTATAAATCTATAGGAAGATCCTAATTGCCATATTCACAAATACTAAGTCACT